TATAGAGTCTATTAATATAGTTGTAAATCATACTCGGAATTCAAAGCTAGATTAAGATTGCCCAGGGCCCTAGGCAGAATGCAAGGCTGGGGCTCCTTCTAAACCCTGTGGGAGTTTATATAGATCACAGATAACCCTGGTGTTTATGGACTGCATTAAGCAAGATGTAGCAAGAGCTATCACTCTCCTAGATTCAGGGCCGTCTATAATATGATTAGGACCCTGGGCAATGCATTTTCTTGGGCCCCATGGGCCCTGTCCCTGCCACTGCCTCACCCCCCAATTACGTCCAACCCGCAATCACACTGACAGACGTACTAGCACATACACACACAGACAGACATTAAAACATTCACAGATACATACTGACACACAAAGTCACTACACACAAATATATACTGGCAGTCATACTGACACACACACACAGACATACATACATACACAGACACATACATTAACAGATATACTGACACACACACAAACACATACACTGACAGATATACTAAAACACACAGACACATACACTGACAGACACATTGACACACACAGGCATACTGACATATACACACACACACAGGCATACTGACATATACACAGACAGACGTAATTGCTGATACAGACAGACATTAAACATTCACAGATATATACTGACACACACATACACTGACATACAAATATATCCTGGCAGACATACTGACACACACACACACACAGACATACATACACACACAGACACATACACTGACAGACATACTGACTGACACACACAGACGTACTGGCACATACACACAGACAGACATTAAAACATTCACAGATACATACTGACACACACATACACTGAGACACAAATATATCCTGGCAGACATACTGACACACACGTACACACACACACACAGTGCACGGGCCACCCGGGGAGCCTCCTCAGTGTGCGGGAGCCGCACCGCAGGGCCTGCGCAAATCGCCGGGCCCACAGAGCAGCTGCTCTGGGCACCCAGGAGCAACTGGGCCCGGGGCAGCTGCCCCGTTTGCCCCGCGTTTAAGACGGCCCTGCCTAGATTGTGCCCTGGGACAGAATTGCTGATTGTTAATGGAGAGGTTACACTTTTTCTGGGACATTGCACCTGCTGTCTGGATGCTTGCACACTGTGCATGGATCTCTCACCTGGTAACTCTCAAACCAGAGCAGCTCTATGTGAAGGACCATGAGCGGGATTCCCAGCAGGACCAGGACCTATTCAGGCTACTGTTCTTTCCTGGCAGCACCTTTCACTTATTAAGGTGGTGCAGGTTGTTGGAGGGGCTCTGACTAGCATAGTGCACCTTGTCCAAGTAGGTGAGGATAGAGATGTCGGTGAGCTCACTGTCAGTGATGGTACTTATGTAGAGAGGGCCCTGGTGCGAGAATATTTTGGGCCCCTCTCTAGTGCAGGTAGAAGCCAAAAGGTAGAACACTATCTATTGTACAAGTAGTGTGTTGCATTTCTAGTTGGGGACATCGTTGCAGAGTTGTATTAGTGAATAGTGTTTGTGTGTTATAAAGTAAGCATGTTTTTTGTATGGAGCATGTGTGTGCATACATGGGTGTATTTGTGCGTAGTGTTGGCATTTGAATGCAGTTAAGTGTTTGTATGTACTGTTGTAATTTGAAAGTGGAGGTGTACTTGTATGTGTACGTGTTTGCTTATGAATGTTTGGATGTATGCACATATATATATATATATTGCTACACACATACATACTGATACAGATACACACACGCATTGATACACATATCATATATACATGCTGACACATCCACACGCAGATACATGCATAAAAAAGCCATACACATAGATACACACATATAAACAAACACTGACACATACACATACGACAAATACGCACACAGATAAGTCATATTTTCCATAAT